CAAAACGGCTGTATCTTAATCGTCTCTTGTTATTGGCTTTCTAGACCAAGCGTGCCGGGCTCGTGGGAATCTTCTATCATGCGCAGAAAAGAGGATGCGGGGTCCGCGGTCAGCGAAAATTCTTCGATCCTCTATAAATACGATGAAAACGGAAGCATCGCCGTCGCGATTATGCTCTTTTTCCCCATACCGAGACCTCCGGGTATTTCGAATCTGATGCAACGACGCAAACGAGCTCTAACAAGAATCCGTAAATCTACCGGTGAAAAAGAAACGATTTCTAATGTATACACGGCTCTTAGCGAAACGTCAGATCGATCGAACGTATTTGCATTCCTGTTTTACCTAAAGTCTCGAAAATCTGAAAATTCCTCCGGAGGGCCGCGCGAACGAACATCCGGGGGTTGCGATAACTGCACGCTCGACGCTTGAGGGATCGTTTCTGGAAGTTTGTAACGCGATTCGGCGTCTAGTAAATCGATCATAGGCCGCCCCAGAAATTCCGCTCGTGCAAAACGAATCGCGGATAAAATCTGACCGCGCGGCGTCGCGTACGTATGAGAAATCGACTCTACACGACCCGCACGCAAACCGTTGCCGTACAATCCCGCCCCCGCGGGGAAAATTCAACCCTTCACCGAATACGGGATGAAGATCTCTTCCCGCGCTAACAAGATTTGTGCAATTCTTAGCTTAGATTAGTCTTAAGAACTTCCAATACGAACCGATATGAAATAAAACAACAATGCGTGTTTGCAAATATAAAATATGCAGAGTATTTCAAAACATCGATCAGGAGAATCATGCGCACACGTAATTTATTTAACCTTGATCCCAAGTAGCCATATCTGTGCTCCGATAATTCTTAATCATTCGCTCGGTTACTATACCAATTCTACCAAACTGTTTGTATACAACGATCGATGAACTCTCGACCTTGTTCGCGATATTGTTTTACGAGTTTGTTTTAACTATTCCCTTGATAATAGCAGTCGATAATTCGTTAGCCTTGTTCTGCGTTGGAGAGAATATTAGAAAATAGCAGATTCGCGTTTGATATATGGATCAGCCGAACATAATTCAGCCGAAGCAAGACGTCTGTACGCGAATCGTTTCCCCGATATACATTTGCTAGATAAGAGAACGTTTCACGGAATACGCAAACACCTCTCGGATACGGGCTCGTTTAAAAAACGAGTGTCGGATGACTGGTAGACCAATCATTATCAGAACTGTTAATCTCGAAGAGAGAATCCTGAATCACGGCGAAGAAAATGATGGCATCGGTGCCCGAAGAATAACAGCGATGGAGAACGTCGGACACGCGACAGTGTGGAGAATTCTACGAGGCCGAGTCATCTGTCCCCGCCATGTTTGTTCTTACCTCGAGCTATCGCTCGACTATAGCTAATCTTTGGTAAAATACGAACGTATCGAATCGGTGGATTCGCAATGATCCTCTCTAAAAAACAAATGCTGCCCTGACGAACGAACGCGGAAAGCGTACTACAAAGACTCGTCGAACGCTCGAAGAAAACTCGATAATGACGAAGCTTGTCTTATCTCGGGACCGACGGGTGTCCGCCATTGATAGCCATCTGCGGAGTCCATGATACGATAACGATTCCTATTGGCATTGGCATCGTTGCGTCAACGCGATAAGACAATCTTTCCGACGGGACTCGCGCGATGAGCCAGCTCGCGATAGAGACGATTCCGTGCACGATGATCGCGTCGAGCGACGCAACCGTCGATCCAACCATTGGACAGAGGAATGCAAAGAACTCGCGACGACCGTGATAGACCACGTTTCACGACACCAGCGAGAAATTGAAAGACTCGCGATAGCACGTCCGCGAGACGCAAAACGTTCGCTCGTCCTCGATACGCGCGCAGTTCGTCGCTTCGAGCGTTGTCGATCGCTCTGACGAGACGTTCGACGGTGGATCCGACGCTACTCCGGAACTGACTAGGATTCAGAGAAGACGATCGTTATGTTTGTGCGCGATATGAGACTACCGTGGATCGTTGTATCGACGATGGCGATCGTTCTATGCCTGTCATCGCGCCCTAATTGCGCAGCTAATTTGACGCCGCCGGCGGAAGCGAAGAGTCTCGCAGCTAATTTGACGGAAGGAAAGAAGTTCGTACTTTTCGAGACCTACAAGACCGAAACCGGCTCCTTTATCAACGTTCCGCCGAACTGTAAACCGGACCAGGTGATATATGGACAACGCTGTAAAACCATCTTCTAAGTGAGTCGTTTGTCGATACGTTTATATGCCCGACTAGAGTCAGGCAAAACAAAATAGCGCGGTAATTACGATCTAAGTATAATTGTGTTTTCGAGTAGCTGCATCCAGTAAGAAATTACATTCTGGGAAATGCTAACAGTGATAATGATTCTAGTTTACTAGTATTTTATCGTTCATAGTTTTAAAGAATTTACATTTTTTGTTTCAGATCTATATCTTGCAATAGACCGTTCCCATCGATAAACATATACGTAACCAGCACTAAAAAAGAATCTATAAACCAGTCGAGGATCTCCGCGAGACCTGCAGGATTCTACTTTTCAGAGTGCAACGTCGATAAAGAAGTCTGTAGATCATTTATCCAACGAGCGTAACAATAACGTACCCACACTTACTATCAGACAAACACAGACCACGGATACAAATTGTAAATATAGGAACAAATTAATACGATAAGATAACAATAAAGAATCGGTCACAGGAAGTCGTCGTTGTCGATTAACGCGAGATTACCGAAAGAAGGGAGTTGCTTTATCGCTTGTTCGTAACTTGCACAACATTTCGATACATAAACCAAGTAATACCTTTCGTTTTGCTTTGTATAAATTATACACACTATCGTTCTAAATCTCCGAATAATTACACGCAATAATAAATAATTATCGTCCGCGAAATATGATGGGATCTGGTTTAACGTGCATAGGTAAATAAGCTACGATAAATAAAGTTGCATTAAAAAAGAAATTATGTACAATAACTGATAAGGTATAAACTTCACTCCTCGCAGGAGTAAATGTTATATATATTGCAAATATTAATTTCGTGAAAAATCACTGGCTTTGCAACGCACTCTACACCTAAATATGGTCACTCGGTAAACAACGCGGAAACCAACTACCGAAGTCGGTAAAGATACCTTGGAAAACTTATTCCTGTACCATTAGTGGAATGCAGAAAAATTATATCGATTATAGCCGCAACGCACGATGATGAATCTGTAAAAAATCGTTTCAAAACAACTCGCAATGTACACAATATGCGTTTCGTTGCAGTGAACCTTGGGGACAAAGATTCTACGTATAAAACAACGATCATCGATATTTTCGTCCAATATTTGAGATAGAACACGCGTCCAGCGTATGATCTGTTTGTTTACAATTATGAATCTCTACGATATGACGCGTATAAAATAGACCGTAGTTCATTAAACCAACTCTTATATCTCGTCTCTTATATAACCGTTAATTTATGATTAATTAGTCAGTGAATCTTAATCTTTGTTACATAATTCGTGTAAGTTTGTATTCAAATAAACCGCGTAGTCAAATCGAAGCGCACTGACCCGTATCGACCTATCGATATTGCGCTACGCGGAAAATGGCTGCCCCCAGAGCTTGTATAGCGAAGAATACATAACCTATTCTTATGTATTTTTGATATTTTATGTTCAATATTTCGAAGCAGATGCTATAGTGATTTTTAAACAATGTTGCATTTATGCAATGTGTTTGTTTTAATGTAAGCTTTTAAACAATGTTGCATTTATAAAAACTAATGGAAACACGCTGTCCTGTGTAGAGTTCAGGTAACAAAGTTTCTTTAAATGTTTCCTTGAATTACTACCAAAATTAATACTTGTTTGTACATTCTAGGTTGCAATAGAGAAGACAGAGTCTGAGCTCTATAACATAATGGTACGTAGAGACTGTGTTGTAAGTTTTGGAATATCAAACATACACATTGCTAATTGCTTTAAAAAATTAAATCTAAAATGATAGTGACAAAAGTACAGTATTTTGTACTGTTAAGCGACCTTCTTAACTACAAAGCCAATTAAAACACCTCTAATCTTTTAACCATCCAGTGAATTTGAAGAAGTCTTGCCTACCTTTTCTTTTTCATGAATCGATCGAATGTATTGTTCCAAAATAAAATAAGTAAAAACAGTTGTTGCAGTCTTACAAGGTTGTTCTCCGTCCATATTCCGACTATTTTCACAATCGGTATCGCACGAACTCTGTGCGTGAACTCACGTTCGTCCACAATATCAGCGTTTCGAACTTTACGCGTGAACTGCTACCTTGAGACATTGCGTTACGGAGGTCGATTCGAGATTAGTTTAATTTATACATGCAAATTAATACGTCCACGCCCCTCGTCGGTCCCGCAATCCTGCATAAAAATTCTGCTCGTCAAACGAGTCACTCATACATTAACACATTGTACGAGATTGCAGGGATTCGCCTGTCGCTCTGTGTATGCATGTTTTAAGCATCGACAAACATCCATTAATGCTTCAGTTTGTTCTGCATTCGTTTCAAAACACAGATAATGGTCTTATTCGTAATATTATTCGATAGAAATCTTAACGCTCCCAAATCTCTAAAGACCTTCGTAGAAACGAACCGAGCAAACTGGACGTATCGCGACCAACGAACGGATTCCGCAAGGAAGTTCATTATCACCGTCGTGCTACTTTGCGTTGCAATTGAGCTGGTTCCGGTGCAGGTCGGAAAAAACGTCTCAATGCTCACGGTAGATAACGCTACGTGTTATTGTTGCTTGCGTTCCGATAACGATGAAACAGTCACCGCGAAAAAAAAAAAAATATCCGGAGAAAAAGAGTGCGACGGCGGCACACGTCGAAGCGATGCGTCTATTGCGATTCGTGTGTGAGCCGGCGCCGCGGTGTGTGTGACCAGAAATACGCGTCGGGACGTATTCGCTTCGGCAGTCGATCGCGACGCGAGCGGAGGAACCTGCTCAGGTGTGCATACTCGCGTTATACCCGTGCAACGCGGGAGTGCAATGCGAACCGCGGGACCGAGTGTCTCCTAAACACGTGTCATCGACGTCTGTTTTTTTTTCTCTTAACTTGGAAACCGCTAGTGCCGATCACCGCGTACGTTCGACGACGATAACCGTTCGCGAAAGGAGCCTGCAGGCGTCAGCATTCTTTTTTTTTTCTTTTTTTTTCAATTCCAGTGGATATCGAAGAGCAACCGATACACCGACCGCGGGAGAACATGTCGCACAACAGACGCAAACCATTTGTTCTCACGATCGTCGTGATAATAATGGTTATCGGGCTCGTGGTGGCTCAAAGGGACACGAGATTGAGCCACGGCACCGACAGCTTCGTCTATCCCGGACAAATCAGACCCAGGAACGGGAAATCGACGGAGAAGCCTGACGGTGGCAGCGAGTTGTCGGTAAATCGATCGTTGAACACGCTGTTTCTACATTTTTAACGAAACGTTTCCGTTCCCGAGCTCTCCGGCTCTAGCTCCCACGTTTTCTCGGCGGCAAATGACGCGATTACATTGTCCGGCGTACGACGATCGTAGAGAAAGCGCACCATCGAACGCGACCAAGGTGAAGAACCAATCTCGCGTCGCGCGAATGATATCAGTGTCGTTGACTGGAATCCCAATCATTTTATTCCGATCGTCGCGAACGCGAGGCAATTCTTATCGTTCGAAGATATTGCGAATTTGAACGTTCCCACGACCGTAAAAATCCTGCAAAATTACGTGTCTTGGGAAATAGGCGGCGCGCTGTATCACCGGCTCTAGGATATTACGCAAACCCAGTCATCCGTATCGGTTGTGTTACTATAGTTTATACAAGCGACAGGTTAACAATGAACGGTGTCGCGTTTGCAGGAAATTGGTCGATTCGAGCTGAAGGTGATACAAAATTTTAGCGTTTAGAATCAACGATATTACCGCGTTGCATATGGATGCATATTGCAACGAGTTTTTTTTCTGGTTAACGCCCGACTCGTTTTTATTATCCTTTTTCTCGGATCGACTAACACTTTTCTTGAACGAATAGACATCGAAGAGACAGTCTCTCGGAAAAATTCGTGCTTTCAATGGTAAACAATGGTATTACGACATCCTTGACAACGGGGACGTATTCGTTTTTCCTTAAAGACCTGAATGACGTCAAAGGCCGAATACCGCTAATGTCAAGGATGAACGAGGATCGAGGTGGAAGCCTCGATTGTGTACGATACGCTTAGAATGCTCGTCACGATGTCAGCGATTCGATATACAACTAATTGTACGTCACTTGGCGTTTGTTAAAATACTCTGACGATTACCTTGCGATCCTTAACTAATTTTATCGGCGCTTTGCATCGCGGTTCAATTCGCGCAATTTTCACGTAATAGAGGAAAGTGCAGCATATTTGGAATGCTAATGTGTTTACGGGGAATATAGAATTATTCCAATTTTAATGAGAGATTCTAGACGCCAAGATAAGACGAGAATCAAGAATACCAATTTGTTGATTGAAGCTTCGTTAAAAAGTTGTGTATTGTAAAAGTAATTATTTTATTTAATTTCGCCGAAAAGTTTGGGCACCTACTCGAATTTTTTTCTCGAAAGTGAGTAGGATTTCGGGGGTATGTCTGTTCACCAAAAATGGTTGTATCTGACCCCAGAACCTAGAAATAATTTTTTTAGAACGATTCGAAATTTTTTTTTTCGTTGAGAAATTTTCCGGTTGGTATGGAACTTTAAACGTTAATAACTTTTTAACGAAGCCTCGATCAACAAATTGATATTCTTGATTTTCGTCTTATTTTGACCTCCAGAATCTCCCATACAAATTTTTCTAAAGAATGATCTACTTTCGAATAATCGATACTTAAAAATTGCTTAGCTCGACCGATTCGCGAACGAACGAATAGAAATTGAGGTTGCGCTTAATAAAATGCGCGTATAACGCAAGTGTTGCAAGGTGAAGCTCGTTCTTCCAACAAGGACAGCACAACAGCCTTTATTTCGCGGAGTTTACGTTCGTTTTGTCATAATGCAATTACAACAGGCTTATCGAACACACGTAGTATCGGTGAAAAGGTGATTCCTCGCGACGAAGTAAAAAAATATAAAATAGATGTTTTCGATCGATTGCGTAGTTTCCGAGAAAAATGACTTAAAAAGTTTTACGCAATCCTTAACAATTGGTCTTAATGTACGATTATTTTCCAAGAACTGTTAAAAATGTCGCCTGCACCGTCGTAAACAAAGCTGCGCTCTTCGTTTGAAATCATCACGAATTTAGTTTGCCGTTGTCGAAGTCATTTTCCGTATGAGTCACACAACCGTTGAGAAAATTTCATTTAATATTTTTTAGTTGCTCTTTCGAGGAATCACCGGATACCATTCGTACGTTCCAACGTTGTGACACGTTTGTACGATCACGAATGGCGCCGATTATCGCAGACAGCCTTTAAAAGTGCCGTTAATTTCTGATCGAAATGTAGCCGAGCTAATGATTCTTGGAAAGCACACTGTCTCCGAGTCACAACAGATTTCACGATTACGTAAATTCCGGTGCACGCGAACTGCTATCAGAATGCTCGACGAACCGTTACCGATTCCGTCCACACCTGTAGACCGTACTTCGAACTGACGCTCAAAATTAAAAGATAAAATGACATATCCTCGCGAATGGTCGAAAGGGAACGCGTCCATCGAGTTTATCGGCAGAGGACATTAACGCTGAAGCTGGTTCTTAGAAATCGGTTCGCCGTTTGCTCGTTTTTGGCCGTCCGTGCGATAGAGCTTTGTGTTCGAAACCTGTTTCAAGTCGAAGGGCGAACGTTTCAAACCCGGTGAAACGACTTTGCACGAGCTGGCAAGTTGACACCTCGAGCAAACGTGGATAAAGATGCTTTTAATGGCGATCTAAAAATAGGCACCGCGAAATCACGGATGATTGACCCACGATTGTTCCGGTAATCCTGCGACTTTGTCGCCAGAGCATCCGCGATCGTACTTAATGATTCACGGATCGCTCATATACAGGGAATACCCTGATAATTAACTAGAGAGGCGTTCCGTTCGATCGCGTTCACCTCGATCGCTTCGATATCTATTTTGCTAAGTAGCTCCCGCAGCGATTCTCAACTGGGACGATAAATTTGTAGAAATCGATGTGTAAAGATACCAAAACATTTGCATACTCGAATGAAAGGTAGACGATGGGAGAAAACGATAAGCTCGAAACATTGTTGTTAATATTACGCGGTACACCTGAACCGATGTCCCACCCGATCACCGATCGATTCAGCAACTCGCGATATGCATGACAAAACGCTGGAATTCTTAAGCAAACAGACTTAAAGGTGGCTGATTAACGCGCTCTTCGTAGAAAATACGTTTCACGTCGCAGGACTGAATGCGAAATACAAATGACCGGCTGCGATATTAAAACATTTCTGTTTTTCCCTAAATGGAGCAATCGACCGACGTGTAGTCTCGATATCGTTATCATTTGGCGCGATCTGAACCGGGAATACACGCGTTATCGGTTTGTCGGTGCCGATTAGATCGTCGGTCGATCAAGATAGCACGGGTGAAACCAACAGAATTTTCCGTTGATCGCATTATTTTTTCAGAAAATGCTGCAGCTGGCCAAGAAAATCGATTCCATGGATTCGATCGACGAGTTTCTGAACATCGTCCAGGGTGTACCAAAGTCCCATCTACCAACGTCCTTTCACAGTAAGTGAGTTCCGAAGCCTTTCGAAGCGTATTCTATTTCAAATATGTGTTTATGTTTCATAAATATCAATAAAGATTTGTGAGAAATTCCAACAGGAAGAATCGTATAGTGAAACTCCCTCATTAGCTTGCGAGATCCTCGTTTAGAATCTGTCATACTTAACATTCGTATGAAAAACCGGTTGATTAGTAACGCGTTAAGAAATAATACCGACGAGAAATACGATCTCGTAGATCGAACTTTATTCAATGAAATAATCGATAGAACGTTGGACAGTACCAAATGTACAAAAATACTGATCTATACCGGCGTGTATCGCGCGACGATGCAGAACCAGCTGCCGTCGCAAATCCTACGATGTTTAACGAACAAATTGTTGCAAATAAATCAACAACCACCCCGGCAAATATCGGTTGATTACATAAACGAATTATACCGAGCGGTGTCTCTTGGTAATTTAACTGTTTGAACGATGCTTCATTATCGGTAAATATGAGATCATTTGATAAACCGTACACACGGTCTCTAAACTAAAAAAGGTTCAATTAACAAAACAAATACGCGATAAACGTAATTTGCAACGTTTGATCGCCGTTGCTTTACGAATCTTAAAAGCGTAAAATCGCCAACCATTTGGTAAACAAACGAAATATAACGTAATCCTACAAAACTTTCAGAAGAGTTACATTAAAGATAATTTCAAAAAAAATTCGTGTTCCGACATTGTCTAAATGAGAACGAAAAGAAAAAATAATAATTGCCTTTTGATCGATCTTCTGATTCGACGAAAAGAAGGATCCGTTACTTGTTCCTTAGATTTTCGTCTTTTCGAACTTGCTTAAAAGATTCATCCTGCACTTGTTGCTAGCCTCGTATATGATCAAGTGGATCTGGTAGTTGAAGATGAACTTTTTCCTATTACGGTCGTGACAATCGTCCACGTCGACGCAAGGTTTGTTAAAGATCAGCTTATTATCCACGTAGTGGGGAACGAGTGTCGGCGTGCAAGGGTCTACGATCGCCAACTCCGTTCCAAGCTCCTTCAGAAAGCATTTGCGATCTTCGAAGAAATTCACGTCTTTCAAGAAACCACCGAAATCGTTCGTGTTCGGTATCAGTCTGTTGGTGATTTCATTGATCTCCTCTAGGGTGAGCAATCTAGCTTTCGGCTGGCCAAAACACGTCGTAGAATTTTTACTTTTAGAAGACGGTTCCAAGGCTGAACACTCGGTTGAAATGGAGTACGCAATTTGCAATTTGCACGGCCGCCTCCAAGTGTGAGCGCCAGTCGTGGCCGAGAAATACGCATTCCAAGCATCTGCGATCGAATTAAACATTCTCGTTACGAAATATTTCAGATTCTTTACGACACACAGCGGCGGCCATTTACTTACGTACAAATTCCTAATTTCTACACTTTGTATACTGTCTTGGAACGCTCGCAAATATACCTAAACCAGAGCTAATCACACAGGTAACGACCCAAAACATACCACGCGACATCGAAACATTTTAATATCTAAGTGAATGGCCGCTCTTTAATTTTATCTCGATTCGAAAGGGAGGAAACTACGTTACAATTTAGTGGAAGTACAAGTAAAATAGCTCTTGCCTCTTTTCCAATATTTGCGCGAGAATTCAATCTCTCCTTCGGCCTCCACGTACTTGATCGAGCTAGTTTCAACGACAGCGGGCCCATCTCCTTGACCACACTCTCTCTTGATGGCTTTGATGGTTGGTGCCATTTCCTCTTCCAATTTTATCCTATTAATGCTCCGCTCAATCTCCTCTATGTTGGTTGACGACATCTCAAGCTTGAAAAGATTGCTGAGATCACCCTCGCTTAAATCGTAGAACGTGTCGTCGTGCATCGCAATCATTCCCTTCGGATCGATTTCATTTTGATTGAAATCTACTATCGGGTCATTCTTCGAAAACACTTCCGATGACTCTTGGGCGGATAATTCACGTTCTATCGGGTTATCGTTATCGGTTCGTAGAGATTCCTGGTCGCTCCGACTTTGATACGAAAATATCTTTTTCCTGTATAAAAATCGACGATTACGATTTCTACCATTTCCTGGCGCAACGAGAACAATATCGTTCCGTGATCCTGTATTCGCGTGTTCTCACCGGTTCGAGCGTTTCTTCTTGTAACCGATGCTAGCGATGGGCACGATGTTCCTGAATTTGTGACGACTGTTCACTTTGTGAGCTTCCATGAAAGCGGTTACGTTCTTCCTGCCTCTGATCGTCCTGCCGAACCAATCGAGGACTACGTCGTTCGAGAGGTGGTTTTCTAAGCCGGAAGCAAGACCATCGACTAGGGCGAAGTAATTGTTCGCGAACGAAATAGCTTGCGTGTGCTCGTCCATTGCCTGTTCGCCTAAAAGAACGAGCCCAGGCTTTACCACAGAAAGCTCTTTAATTAGCCTATATTAACACGAAACCACAGAAACCACGCTGGAACGAACGTAATGGGAATTCTGGAGGGAAATTCTCTGACAAGTTCGAGGAGGGATTTTACTTTTTATTATTAGTTCTAAAGATGGTACATAGAATACATAAAATTCCCAAGTTACTGTTCCAAGATGTTTGTAAACGACTTGCTTCCAGGTAGGATGGGAGACGCAGGAGAGCGGTCGAACGCGGAACGACCAGTCCCGGCTAAATGTATGCCCGAATTGCAACCAGTTTCTCTGAAATTAGATAACGATCCTTCCACAGTCTACTTTCCCTCTTGCACGCGCGTCATGAGATGCGGAGGATGTTGCAGTCACTCGTTACTTTCCTGTCAGCCGGTCGCGTCAGAACTCCGAAATTTCGAGGTAAGCCACCGCCGTGTCGATAAATTACTGATAATTGCTAGTCACACGAACTAATTAAATATTACTCATGCTTCAAGGTATGGGTGGTATCGATGGATTATGTGAACGGACCGAGTTACAGGGACAAGCGAATCATACCCGTGGAAGAGCACACGAAATGTGTGTGTGACTGCAGAATTAAGGCGGAGGTAATTTGACGACAGCCGATAATTGGGATCTTCCTTCTTAAACCGGTACAAGTCGGCTCGCGGTCTATAGCTGACGGTTCGCGAACACACTTTCGTGCATGCGTTGCGGTTTTACTCGACCGAACGAGAATATCTCTACGTTTCAAAGCTTTTAACCGTTCGACGCGTTATCTTTACAGCATTGCAACGAGAAGCAGTCGTACGTGAAAGATGAATGCAGATGCGCGTGCAATAACAACGACGAGGCGGAAAAATGCTCGAAGAACAACGACACCAAGGTCTGGAATCCAGAGCTTTGTGCCTGTTTCTGCAGAGAAGAGTTGGACTGTTCCACCGGCTTTTACTTCGATCAAAACACGTGCAGGTGTGAGCGGAAAGAATAGGGACAACTACTGTGGAAATAAGGAAACTTTTCTCTCACTGCACTCCTACTCTTTCGCGTATCTTGTAAGCCGCACGCGTTGCACCAGATCTTTTCGCTCGACTCGCTAAACTAACAACCCCTTTTCTCGACGACTATACGTTCGATTAACTACTACGTTCTCGCAAAAATACGCTACTGCAATAACATACTTTAATGCTTCTGTGCTTCTATTTTTCTCGCTACCTTTGTAATCTGCTTTTCTATTCTGTAAGGTTACCGTAAATTGAAAACAACCGAAGCATGCGTCGCTTTCTTCAAACGTATGGATTCACCAACGTATACCGTGATCTTATTAACACTTGCATGCAAGTTTCACGCGCTCGTATATTCGAGTATGCTTTTATAAACGAAAATTATTAGCAAACATCGCTGGCTTCGTGATGTACCACTTGTTTTGTGAATACAATTTTATCAAAATAATTTGAAATTAATTTAAGCATACGGTGGGACGGTACCAACTTCTAATCATATTTTTATACAAACTAAAAAGTTGGTCTTGATACGGTAAACACGTAATACGTCGAGCTAATTTTGTTTCGCTTTCCACTCAGGCAACGTGTAAATCGTTTTAAACAAAAATTCATTACAAGTATTGTGTATATGGAAAGTGCAGCAACGTTAATATACCATTTAAGTAAGGTAAAAACGGTAAACTGACGATGCAGCATTGATTTAAAAAAGTAATTGGAATATACGAGCCTTTCGACAATCTAATGCACTTTGCACGTCTAATGCCTTAATTCGAATAACCGTTGATACGAAGAAATCATTTTGAATTGTATGTTCTTAAACGCGCGTTTCAGATGTCGACAAGTACCATTATCTAAGACATGGTTTCCACTCACAAAGGGTGCGGATTACAGATTTGGACAAACACAAAAACCAGACACTGTACCCCCTGTAATAGTTGCGTTAGATGCAGCGGATCCTAGAAGAAAGCCTAAAGATGACCCAGAACGTTGAGGAAGTTTCAAACTAGTAGACTGTATCGAAAGACTCACGAAACAGCTACTTTTAAAAGAACATGCTTGTAGCTCAACCCCATGCATCCGTGCCATTTTAATACAACACAAAACATGCAATTATAGTATTTGTGAGATAGTATTAATTTGATAATACAGGATTAAGTCATTATACTTTTTACATATCAAAAGACTTTGTGATATAAGGAAATATAATTATTTAAACGTTAATGTCTATATTTCTTCGCGTAAGGGTCGTACTTGGATTACCCTACAGGGAATGTTGCGACGTATGGCGAATGTTACAAAATATAAAAAATATAAAATATGTATCCCTTATTCATACCAATTACTCCTTATCTATTCTTGTTCCCTCCAACTCTGTTTGTATTCGCTCTATACTGGATTCCTTTTGATGCTCCTTAATGCTTTGATAACAAAGAACCACTGCTTTATTAATCTTTAAGACGGCTCTATACTTCTCACTTAAGGATGCAACAGATCCGGATATTTCGCCTAAAAATTCATATTTCGTTAAATAGGATCTCTCACTTTCGACTAACTGTTAACCGTTGTTGTTCTAACACGGATTCGTAGAATTTAATTTGCTACCTAACCTCGCTTTCATTCGTAATACAAGATGTATAGAAATGCAACATTTGAAATACCGATCTTTGCAACGCGTTCAAGAGAAAACACTTAACGATACGTAAAGACAACAATTAAATGATTAAATACGATTGTACAAATCATTCACTTACTAATGGACGATGCAATATCATCGATGGTTGATTCTTTCGTGATTTTGACACGTTTATACATCTCCTCCATTTTAATAAACTTACAACTTCGTTTTCTAAACTATCTTTCACGCAATTAAACATTAAAAACAACACGTTTAAACAAAAAGTATCGAAGTTTCGTCTCGACGGACATGTGCAACGCCAAATGGCGCCAAAAGTGCTCGAAGCAGCAATCGTAAATACGACGCGAAGCAACAAACTTACTAATTTTTATCAAAAATGCGACAAATATACAAAACACGAGATGATATTTTTTACTGGAACAAAGCAAACGATACCGGGAACAATTTATAACGTTATGCAAGAAATTACCTGTTCGTCGAAGTCACGCAACGTAGAAATCACGTCTACAGCCTCAAGCTTCAAAGGTCACAGTAACAGGCAACGTATTAAATTCGACATTCAACGGCCTCGCCTCATTTACAGTTTTTAACAATGTTTCCATAAAAACTTATCCTCGACCAGTGTCGAGGACACAAAAAATTTTACCAACAACCAAATACCGTAAGTATGTCTTCGTCGCCATCTGACGACCACTAATGAAATACAATATCTTTCGTACAAGGTTCTCCAGATGTCGCATCATGACGGATGATCAAAGTTACGTCTGTGCACACAAGTAATTTTTAACGAAAACATATTCCGTTTAATAAATACTTTAAATTTGAGAGTATATGCTTAACCGATCTACTGCATATGTCTTATGTAACAGTGGCTATTTCCAATCTGACTCGTTTTACCATCACAACCTAACCAAATCATTTTTACGAATTACCCAGCTCCGTTAATGAACCATTAAAAGTTATTTGTTCATCCACATTTCCACGGAAGCTGAATATCAACTTCGTCGAACTTATCGAGCAAATAATAATCCAATGCATAATGAGAGACCAAACACAACCATACTTTACGTACAAATTGCAGGCTTCAGTTTCATCTACAATGAGTCACACCTAGCATAGCCTACATACATACATGTCCAAACTACATACGTACGAGATATCTGTTTACCTACATTACAAGTTATGATTAACGTTTAATCGCGGTTTCTTCGAGAACTGTTGTTATACGTCTAATTGCTATTCTGGTTTGTCCCTAAGAATCTGTTTCTCCAGCAAAAGAATCTAACTCGACTCGAAACGATCATGGTTTACGGTTAATCATGGTCATCGAGATCACGCAAAAGACCTCGCGAGATCGGAACGGAGAAAGGCTCGGCGGATAATGTTTCGTTCGTGTTCGAGCAGCGTGTCCGCGCGCGTACTGGACGAAAGGAGAAAGAAGCGGCCAAAGCGAACGACGAGGCGCCGTTTTTTTGCGCCACCCGTTATAATTGCCGGGGCCCTCGTCACTTTTGCCACAGTGAAGTATCTCTTTCGTGCGTCGCCCCGCGAATCGCTCGGCGGCTACCTCAAAGCGATCTCGCTTCGACGAACAACCGGAGGAGGCAAACGAGAAGAAGATGGAAGACCGTAGACAGAGAAAACAAAGGCAACGGGCAACGTTCCGAGCCGGTGTGCGAGGTACTCTCGCTCGTCACGGAATTGTCATTGGTCGCGGCACGTGAGCGACTGAATTTGCAAAGCGCAAACACGTGTGGAGATAAACGTGTTTTCCGTTACATTTTAGTCGCTACGAAATGGATCAAGGACCGCGCGCCGCCAACCAAACGTATTACGAAATAATTGATATCTATCGTTGCGTAAATTACGCGGGAGCATCGAGCGCGAGTATCGATCGATCATCGATATCAGGGAATTCGAATTCCGCGCACGCGTCCTCGCGTCGACGGATAAAAAATTTCGTTCGAACGATCGAGCATCAAATCGTTGCCCCTTTCGTCGTGAAACGAACTCCGTAATGTACGATATTCTTTTTACGGGACGAACGATCGTTTATCGAAGTTCGTATCTAAATAAGAATTTAGCCAATCCGCGGATAATTATAGCCGGGGCTAGCTGTCGACGGCGCCCACGGCGCGTTTGATGCAATTTAATCGCGGTGCGCGTCGCGCGAACCGCCATTTTTTTTAGTCCCCGCGTGAATGCGGCTTAATTGCATTCGGTAGCGAGGAAGAATTAAAATTCAAAGAGGAATACAGCAGTGGGTCCCGAGAAAAAAACCGGTACCTCGCCTACGTATTTTACGCCACTTTCTTGCGTGTACGCACGCGCGTATCGCTATCCCGCTTCATCGCGCATCTCCCGACCTCTCCTCCTCAAGGACTCTCCTCTGGAAGGCCCGTGTAGCCGGTAAGAGGCTCCGCGATCGTAATACAGTAGCCAACACGGTGGTAGGTTTAAATCATATTAAAGCGCATCCAGGCACCGGGAACCGTAACCCTGGATTACTGCTACAAATCGTCCCGTAAGGGGAATTCCGCGCGCCAAGTAATTCAATCGGCTTTAAAGGTCCTGCTAATCACCGAAGAACCTCTCCTCTAATTCCAGGACGCCGATTATGCTTCGTGTCGTTCCTTTTCGCCGGACGCGACGCCGAAATTCACGCGAGATTCGAACAAATCGACTAAGAAACATTATCTGCCGCAAAGAAAACAAGAGGAACCTGTTTACTTTATCACGACTACCACGTCAGAGAAATTAAAATACTTCCTATTTCGTATTACTTAAAAGAAAATTAGTTAATTCGTTCGATTATTGACCATTTATATTAACAGTAAATAGTTATTGTTAACACATGTGGAATTGTGTGTTTCGTGGACATGTACGCAATCAATGGTGCGATTCTGTAAGCCTATCGATAGTCGAGAACAACAACAGAGACGAGGAGGTATGATAAAGTGGTCTCGTGGAAAGTTACGAAACAACGTGGGCAGCGACGGTAGAAAATAGCGTGGGTCGTGACGGTCTGAGACCAGGTGGAACGTGTTTATACAAGATACGACCTGATAAGACACCGGCGAAGCGCGGCGGAGAGCTTGCCTACGGAAGACACCAAATGACCAATGCCCAAAACCGAACGGGAAAAGCAAATTTAATTCGGCGCCCGTAAAACTATCATAGCGTCGAAACTGTTTAACGCTCAACGCATCGAGTTATCTCATGTCCATGTGTGTGACAAAACTTTTCACTATGGAAGCAGAAGAATTAAGTCTCAAGGTGAGATATTAACACGCACGCCACCACCACTCGGTTGGAATAATCGTCCACCATAGATCACGCTATATTCGTGGCGATCTTGTTAAACGTAGTGAATTACTACAATTATCTACGAATAAGATACTTGGTTTATTTATTGGGTCATAAAATAGGGAATCATTTCTGTCACGCACACGCGACGTTGGTTTTCTTACTATTTCCGGGGACTTTCGTTCGACCAAGCTGTTCAAATCACGTTCGAATTCGGATTGGCGATTAAGTTCGGCCATGGATCTCGACGATGGTCGTAAAGAAACTTCTCCCGGGAATTATCAGCCGAGGCTTAAGTCCCCCACCCGATACATCGGTCACGATTTTATTGCGTTCATTTACGAATAAGCCTATTGAGAAGCTAGACATTCATAGATGACACCTACGAGATTGGATAACAGCTCGTAGATCATCGCGACAAGTTCCATCCAAGACTCGATCCGTGAATCGTGACAGAAAGAATGCACGCCTCGATCTCGTATTAACATTTCTTTACGCGTTCCGAATCGCGTTAGAAATTACTCGAATCGGTCGCCCCACAGTTCGGAGTTAACAATGCCGATGATAGTATTTTTAGTCGCGCGTTAAAAACGAACGATACATACGAAAACGACAACGATATTTCTCGCGTTTCGTCGGCGGGTCGATTCGTTTCCGCGGAGCCGTGTCGTTATTCACGTATCCAATCAGTGCCAAGTATCGCCTTGGAGCTTAAATTGACAACGAAATTGGCAATGCAATTTACGCTGCAAGGGTATCGAGCATTTTTTATCTACACGCGATACGAGGGCCACTTACGTGGAATTGAGAACCGCGCGCAAAAAGGAGATACGATCGTCGATCGAGATCGGCGTATTTGCAATTATTACACGAATGTTTTCCCCGGCGGATATATGTAAGTCGTCCAGAAGCATCTGTTTCGAATCGGCCGGATCGAAAAAAGGAAACCGTGTTGCACGGAATGGTACGTACGGGAACAAAAATCCTGACCGCAATCGTGCTCGATTTATACGTGTCCGGCGGAGGAAAATCGTCGGAAGATCGTGCCAATTACGTCTAATTTTTTCACGCGATGACCAAAGCACAACAACGCTACCAACGCCGGCGGAATTACCTGTCCTTCGATATGAAAGGTATTCGCAACCTTGTTCTTCGCGTGTTGCGCGTTTATCCATTGAGAACGAACTGCCGATTAAGAAACAATAAAGTACAGAGGACTATCTCGATCGCTTAAAATTTCATAAGAGGAGAAATATTTGTGAATCGTGCAGGGAACTAGGCGTTAGAGAGGGAATCGCGGGGTCCCCGAGACGCTCAATAAGCGGCCCTTCGCCGAGATCCGAGTGCTCGTTTTGCCTTCGGAGGCTCTCCGCGACGCAGTATCTACGAGTCTATCCCCGACGCTAACAACTTCATCGAACCGACTTCGCACGAGCCAGTATCCGTTTTAAGAGGGCGGCTTCGCGGTACGTACACGATCACCATCCACGCGAGCAACGCGTTACCGATTAAGACCTTGCTCATATCGGGGCCGTTTTACATGACGCTTTACGCCGATAGCGTCGCGGGCAAACAGACGCCCCGACCAGGGGAGGAATCTGGTCTTGTGGGACCTCTGGAAAATTAATTCTCGGCGTTTTTCCGCCGGATGATTTCAACATTGCGAACGGATTACGCGTAACTTATTTCGCGACGATAAAAGCGTCCAGAGAGAAGTGGTTGGTGATTTGGTGGCAATTCCGTAATCGAGTCTTTGGGGAAAAAATCACGGAGCCCCGGTATCTGTCCAACGACCAGCTCCTCCTTACGCGCGCTTGATACGCATTGAAACCGCTCCATTAAATATTTATACCGAATCGCGTACCGCGCGCAGGAGACACCGCGGGACGAGATGCAAATTACAACAGCACTCGAACGCCGTTGGCTCTGCACACTTTGCGCCATCGAGACAGCGAGACGCGTACGGTGGTGTTGTTCGTCCAACCATGGCGA